GTAACAAAAGGATCACCACGTGATTTCGTTTCTCTACTCAAAAGCAGGCGTATTAGTTCATTAGTGGGTTCTTCATTTTTCAATAGAAGTAATAAATAGCCCAAGGCTTCGGGATGATTGGCAGATTCTAGTTCTGGAAGAATATCCTAAAAATATAAAAAATATTGTTGAGTAAACAATTCAGTTACTTTTAATTTTCAACTCACTTGCAGACATTTTAAAGGCACATCGTGTGCCTGTACCAATTGCCATAGACATAATTGTTCATAGGTTTCATACACTAAACTATCACGTATACATTCAATAAGACCTTCTTGTTTGAACAATGTCAATTTTCCTTGGGCCACATAATACATAAGATCACGCAAATTCTTTGCATCAATACACCTTAGGGTTATGCGTAACAAATCACTATTGTTGATAGCAATTGATTTGAATTCCCGATATATATCCGGCAATAGCCACAAATAAATGGCCGTATTTTCTTTTTCCAATAGATCCAAGTCACGCGTTAAGCAATCGTCAATTTTTTCGTCCGTAGCATCACATATTAGACGATAAATGTTGGTTTTAAATTGTGCCGACTGTTGGGCATTTTTGCGTGTCTGCAATTTTACATAAACTTTCATAAAGTACAATAACAGATAGCCGGTTTCGGGTATACGTTTACAGATCTCGGTGAGTAAGGATTGAAATGGTTTCTTACTTTTGTCTTCATTCTCGTAGAGAAATCGAAATAGACCAAATATGGGATAACTTATGCTTTTAGCCAGATTCTTTTCGTCTGTTTTGCTTTCGGGAAAGATGTTTTGCAGTGGCAAAGTTTCGCGTAATATTAAATGCGTATTCGAGATCACATACTGAAGTTGTGCATCATCTAAAGCTGAAGCGGGTAATGAGCGGAAATCTTCAAGAAATGCCTCCCAGGTAAATGAGTTACGCTTTGTAACGAATGTTTCGAATGTATCGCTTATTGAGGCGGGAAGTTCAACTTTTTCCGGTGTGGTTTTTTGTAGTTTAAGCAATTCCTTTAGAGGAACATCATCGTCATCATCTGTATTCTCTTCCTTTTTAATATCCTTACTTACGTCTTCTTCGTCTTCACTAAAGGCAGCATCGGTTTCCATATCATTACTTTCGGGAGGTATGATAGAAAGTTTATTATCTTCTTCGACGAGACTTATAACACTACCGCCGCCGCCACCAACTCCTCCTCCACCACTGTCAATAATGCCACTACCATGTTCTAGTAAATCTACCGTTGTTGTGTTATGAGGTTGATAATGATTTTGCAAGTGCTGCAGGTCGTGCTGTTGGGTCTGTTGTGTATTGGGTGGGCCACCAGTGAACATTAGAGCTCCTTGGTGCATTGTACGTTGATCTGCTTCTTTTTTGAAAACCGGTGCTTGTATAACTGAGGAAGCTGGATACATAGGTGGTCCCACATTACCGCTGGGAGCTACTGGCGAAACAAATTCTCGGAAATTTTCACGTATCAACAAACGTAATTCTCGGTCTAATTTCGGTGACTCAAATAAGGGTTGTATATTTGGAATGACCTTAAAAACGTAAAAATAATTGCTTAATTTTTACTTTGTTGCTTTTAACAACTAATAATTTACTCACCTGTTTCTCTAAAATCTTATTCAGCGAATTGTATACCCCCATACGTATTTTATCCTCATGTTTTAAGCAGAAATTTTTCATTATACGACACAAAAAATCCAATAATGTACTACTAACACTGGGATGATTACGTATCGAATGATACATCACCAATATACCCGGTTCAATGTTCATTATATTATCTTTCATTGGATCAAAGAACAGCCAATCGTAAAACAACGATAACTTGGCATTAGCCGATGCTATGGTATTTGTACATGATGATATCAACCAGCCGATAATAGCCCATCTTGGTATAATGTCCGAACACAACATATCATTTGTCGGATGTATGACATTGATAATGAAACGTATCAAATCCGAACGCAACGAATGTGATTCGGGTGTTGCGAAATATTTATCTTGAAACCAATCTTGATAGCGTTTCTGATTGCCAAACTTTACCGAAGAGGCGAGGAAGTGAAGTTTACGTTCAACCTCGGGCGTTAGACGACACTGCAGGAATCGGCGACTAGTACGTATTTGTAGCAGATGCCAAATACCATTGAATGTGGGATGAAGACTTTTGGGATTATGTAAGATATCGCGCCACAATTGTTCGAATTCTGGTATGCGGGCAACATTTTGTAGTAAACTGTAAGTGAAATGAAAAAAGGAATGATTTGATTATAATGTTTAACTTTGTAAATTATCAGATGATATTGAAGATTACACTACTAGTTTAATGAGAGAGAATTAACTATTAGCTCTCCGAAAGATTGAGAATATTTAAAAGGTGCATTGTTCCGTTTTAGAATATTTCAAGTTCTGTTTTACATGAGTTCTTGTTCAGTACTATATCAGTTCTAGTTCAATTCTAGTTTAGTTTTAGTTCAGTTCTAGTTCAGTTTTAGTTACATTCCAGTACCTACATTCTTTCACCTAATTCCATAAGTTTGAAAAACGCATTATTGACATAAATACTTTAATTCTTCATAAAATAGGTCACTAATAACATTACTTAAAGAATGTCATAACAATGAAACCAATATTTTTGACCAAAACAAAAAATTAAAAAGCCTTAAACCACACTCACCGCACAAAATCACGTCCCAAAGGTATAATATCCAAAAAACGATCACGTATCAATGATATAACAAATTTAACTTCCTTATGCCGCAACGGTGTTAGTGCCGGACTAGCATGATCCTCTATGAGACGTACATAACTATACACAACTGTTTGTATAAGAAACGATTGTGATTCCAGCCATGGACGATATTCTATGAATATATCCAAAAGACTTTCAACTAAGAAAAGATTTTTCGGTGAAACATCACCGCCACCAGCTTGACGCAAACAATTCCATATGATGTTTTCCACATTGAGGACCTGATGTTTGACCAGTTCCCTTAGTACCCAAATAAGTTGACGTCGCGCCACATCGGTCAGTTTATTATATTTTTCAGCAACCAACATGGTCATATTTGTTACAACCATATTCATACCATCACGCGCCACCAGTGTTAGATCGCGATAGCTTTTTAGCGCCATATTTGGATCGGATAGCATGATGTAAAGAAAACCAATTGAAATTTCTTCATGTTGTTTTTCCTTACACACTAGCTGGGAGAGTTTGTCGTGCATATCCTTGTCATTAAGACCATTGATCTGTTGTTGCAAACTGATAAAGGCACGCTCAAAACGCTGCAAGTAGAAAAGTTTATAAAAATTAAACGTGTCATCTTTATAGGTCAAACAGAAAATAAAACCACCATACCTCTTCCAAATCATCTTTAACATCAACGGCAGTGCTTATGAATAATTTTGAAATATATTGTATTTTTTGTGTAGATTCCATTTGTTGTGGCTGCATTTAACCAGGGTTCCACGTTCCCGGCTTAATAAAAATTTCCCCAAAACGCTGTATGCAATCTGTCCAAAGACAAAATTGAGACTTCTCTTCGCTGCTACAAGAACACCCCAATCATACACACACTCAGCTCGCTACACGCACACACAAACTACACACAATCAAATGGAATTGTTAAGTGTGCAATGTTTACATTCACCTTTTCTTTAACAAATTTTATCTTTTTCCAACCTAAACCGTTAACTTTGCCAATAATAAAACATGTTTTCAAGAGTTCATAAAATATTGAATAATATGTATAATTGCTATTAAAGGCTCCCTTAAAATATATGAAATTTTTTTGTGAAAATCGGAGTAAAAAACTCTCCTCAAGACTCAAAAAGAATTCACTTCGTTGTGCTGCTTCTTTTTAAGCAACAACTGCAATGAATTGATAAACACATACGTGTAGGTTGCCGTATCCTTTTTTTTTTTCAGGCATCAATGGAGATGAAAAAAATTTTAGCGATTAAAGTAATGTTGCCATTTGTAGCGAAGGGTTTTGGTTTGTGTAGGGCTATATCTTCAACAGGTTGAATGGTTCATACTTTTGTATTTGTCAAAAATTAATGTAAATGTTTAAAAATATTTACATATCAGTTATATGATCAATAAATTGTTAAAAATACCAAATTTATCATTCCAAAAATTCCCAATATTCAAACTTATATTTCCCTTATACTAATAACATTCTGGTACCATTTAAATAAGAGATGACATATAATTTTTTATCAATACGGCAACAGTGCACCATCGGAGAACTGAGCCGAATAACTACAATTAAACTAAGACTAGCCGTCGACTAATTTTAATAGTTAACGCCATGGAAATATTTTTTCTTTAATTAGAATTACAAATAACCATAATTTCTTAAATTTCTTCTGTAATTTTGTTTAAATACAGAAATTTGACAATATAAAACTAAATGTTTTTGAAATTAAACAATTTTTCTTCTTACCGGCTAAACAGTGTTATTAAGCCGGCACAAACAATTTTTGAGTGACACGCCGTTGACTTGATTTTTTTTTGCCGTTGGACTCTGTTCAATGGTTGGTTATTTGCAAAGTAAATTTATAAAGTAGACTCATTTGAACAGCTGACTATTTTTTTTAAACTTGCTATTTGTGGACTTACTTGTCAAAAATGTTTATGTTGCCATATTTGTTTTCATTTTAACGCTTGCTTTTGTACAAATTTCTGTGTAATTTGTTGTATTTAATGTGAAAAAGTGTATTTTAAGTGTATAATATTTTTAAAAATGTTCTAATTTTTAAAAAATAAAGAAAACTCTGTGACTTTTAATATAAATAACAACATATTTTTGGAAAGTACAACAATAATGCCATATTTTCCATTAATTATTGGTTCATTTTTGTAAACAAATTTTGACAAGTGAGTATTTCGAACAAAAACAAATTGCCTGTGGTTTTTGTAGACGTTTGTTGTACAACAACTCGTGTCGCTACTTTATTAATTTACTTTGGTTATTTGGCAATCAGTGTTTTTAGCATTTTGTGTAAAATTTCGTTAATTGGAGTAAAAACATAAAAAAATATAGTGGAAGAAAGTTAAATTTAGAAAAATGCCTTACGCTAATCAACCTTCTGTAACCATTACCGAATTAACAGATGATAATGTCAAATTTGTTTTAGAAGATACCGAGCTAAGCGTGGCCAATAGTTTACGGCGTGTTTTTATAGCTGAGACACCAACATTGGCCATCGATTGGGTACAGTTGGAAGCCAATTCAACAGTGTTGTCTGACGAATTTCTGGCTCACCGTATTGGATTAATACCTTTAATATCGGATGAAGTTGTAGAGCGCTTGCAGTATACTAGAGATTGTATTTGTTTGGATTTCTGTCCCGAGTGCAGTGTAGAGTTTACTTTGGATGTCAAGTGTACCGAAGATCAGACGCGACATGTTACAACAGCCGATTTGAAATCAAGCAATCCAAAAGTTTTACCCGTAACTTCCCGGCATCAAAATGACGAAGACAATGAGTATGGCGAGAGTACAGATGAAATTTTAATAATCAAATTGCGTAAAGGACAAGAATTGAAATTGCGTGCTTATGCGAAAAAGGGGTTTGGTAAAGAACATGCCAAATGGAATCCCACAGCAGGTGTTTGCTTCGAATATGACCCCGATAACTCTATGCGTCACACTTTGTATCCCAAACCCGATGAATGGCCTAAAAGTGAACATACCGAATTGGATGATGATCAGTACGAGGCTCCTTATAATTGGGAGGCCAAACCCAATAAATTTTTCTATAATGTAGAATCGGCTGGAGCTCTTAAGCCAGAAAATATCGTTATAATGGGTGTGCAGGTTTTAAAGAATAAGTTATCAAATCTACAAACTCAACTCAGTCATGAGAATCAAAATGATGCTTTAGCTGTTTAAGAAATAACAAACTTAATTATGTATTTTCACAAATAAACTATTATTTTCCATTTTAATATAAAATCATTAATCTTTAAACAAATTTTGTATATCAATGCCTCCTATAGAGTTTTTGGAGCTAGATTTTTGTTTGTTAGTTTCGCGGTTTGTGTTTTGGTTGCTGGCGTTTTCTTTCGCTTCCTTGGCCTCATTAAAGGCCTCTGTTAAACTGGGCTTAGAGTCTTCTAAGCTTTCGGCCGACTCCAGTAATGCTTCCTGACTGTCGGCTTTCATTTGTTGTCTTTCTTGTTGCAGTAATTCAACAGAAGTTTCAAAAATTTTCTCTTCATCTAAAGCTCCTTGAGACTTTAAACCTTGGTAGATTTTTATAAATTGCTGGCTTTGTGTTTCTCGTTTCCTATCGAATAAATTTATCATTTCTTGCTGTTTCAAAGTTTTGTGAAATTTGCTAAAAAGAAATAAAAATTTGTTAATTTTCGATGAACATCTATCTAACTTGCTAAATAACTCACGCTCTGGCTACATCCTCCTCGTAGAAAATATTTCTAATTGGCAAATCTTTGGGAGCAGGTCTATCGAAACGTGGCTCTAGTTTAGGAGGAAAAGCTTCATATAAATCATACCAAATAGGTTTATCTTCCGGCTTCATAGCTCCCGAACGCAACAAACCAGTTACTCTGAGTAAAATTTGAATGATTTTATTTCTAATAATATATTTTTTATTAAAGTTACCTGGTGAAAATGGTTCCAATTTTTTCCAATCTACTTTGAGCCATGATTTACAATAGAAATTTTATTTAAAATAAATTAAATTTTCCTAAAACTTGGAGCAGGTTACGAAATAACCTTATTTTTTTGTGTTTTACAATAAAAGCCAGAGATGAGTGTTTTCATTAAACAGCTGTTTTTGTTAATGTTATCGATGAATGAACTGTTGACACAGTTTTTAGTACAAGGTATTAGTACACAAAATCAAAAATTTGTCAGCTCTAATAAAAAATATAAACAAAAGCACGTTGGTATTCATTGGCAGAGAATCATTTCTTAGATAAAATTTGTTTAATTTAAAATTATGGGTGCTTTAGCTGAAGTAATTTTTTTTTGTAATTTTTAAAGTTAAAGTGTAGTAACTAGCTATTCTTTTTTACAGGTTGCTGGTGATGAAAACAATGGTGAGGGTTCGCGTACATTTGTATTTCTAGATGAAGGCCACACACTGGGCAATGCTTTGAAAACCATTGTTAGTCGTTATCCCGATGTGGATTTTTGTGGCTATACTATACCACATCCTACTGAAAACAAACTACATTTTCGTATACAATCTAATCAAGCTAGAGCAATTGATATTTTAAAACGTGGTTTGGAAGATTTGGAGAAAATATGCGATCACACCATTGAGACATTTGAAAGTGAAGTTAAAGTGTTTACTGAGAAAAATAAAGTTGCTGCTACATGAAAATAATTTACTTATAAATACTTTTTTTTAATTAAACAAAATTATTTTGTTAATGAGAAAATGTACACCAAAATCATCACACAGCATTACGTGACTTCTTGGGATCATGATTGGGTTTGCGCAAATGATGGTAATTGGGTAAAACTTTGCGCAAGAAATCAATCTGCAAGGTTTGAGACTGAAACAAGAAGTAAAAATGTTGGTAAATTAGTAAGCCATAACTTTTATTAAACAAACTCACAGCATGTTTATCTATAGCCTCTCGCTGCATGCATTCTCTGCCATAGATTACCGTATTTTCCGGCAATTGTTGTTTACACTGCAAACGTACTCCGGCTCCCACTATGCAACCACTGCTGACACTAACTTCCGGGCTCACATAACTTTTACATTCAAAAACATTTTTATCACCTATACGATTGGCTTCCACTGTACAACCTACTTCAAATACATTATTGGCTCCTATAGTTAAAGCCGGTGCAGGATCCCCAGTAACGGCCGAACTTTTGTCTCCCTCCGGCAAACGATAGGCAATAGTAGCATATTCTTCTACTATACAATTTTCACCCAATATAATGGGTCCCGCCTCTGCTATAATACTAGCACTGGGATGTATGACACATCCTGGTGAGATGGTGATGTCACCACGCAATGTACTGTCTTCACAGACAATAGATTTGGTCATAATTTTTACACCGCTGCTGTAAAGGGAATGATTTAGTAAAAATTTTATATTTTGTTTTGCTGAAGAAAAATATTTACTCGATGTCTATTGGTGGCATTTCTAAAAAAATTCTTGGTATTATTTGTGTTTTAGAAAATTATGTTTTTCTTCTTTATTTTTGTTTTGTTTAGAGATGGCAAATATAATGATAACTTAACAGGTGTGGTGTTATCGTTTTATCATCGCTAATAGTGGTGGATGCCAGATTTGAAAGTGTTATACAATTGAGCGTTTTTAATATATATTGAGAAAGAGATTAATGGATTTAATTAATAAATTAGAAAACATTTGAAAAAAGTCGAATTATTGAATATATAAATAAAATAAAATGGGAAACAATTTAGAGATAAGTCGGAAGTCGACGTGCTAGGGAAAGTCTATTATGTATTTCAATTACAATTAGCACAGTACAGCACAGCACAGAAAAGGTCAAATTCGACCATATTATCCCAATAAACCAACTTAATAAATGGACTATATTGTCGAATAACTGATTTTTGTAAAATAAATGTCTAAAAAGTCGAACAAATAACAAATTTGATAGGTATCTCAATATGAAATTAGAGTTTTAAAGACAGAGGATGTAAACTGCAGAAACAAACGAAGAAAGAAAAGGGCGGAGAGTAAAAATTTTTTAATACAAAATATATGCATCAAAAATTATGTTATTTCAATTTTTTCTGGGTTATTGGATTTTGACAATCCTAAAAATATGTTGTGGTTTTTATTTACCATCCAAAAAGTATGCTGCAGTAAATATAAACATAACATTGCCAATTATAAAGAAATTCGTTTATTAAAATTTCGATGCTGTGGCAGCACTGGCTGCAAAAATTAATTTCGAAAAATTATTGATTCTTGAAAAATAAAAATTTTATTTTACCCTTATGAACCTTTGTGTGGAGTACTGCACAATGGCATGGAGTCAAAATCCATTGTGCTTAATGTTTTGAGCATTGGTCCCATTCCTTTCTTTTGCATATTAACTTATGGTGAAAAGTAGTTTTGTCGGCTTTGACCATAATTTATCCATAATTTTGCGTTTTTGGTAAGCTTGACAAATTTTTTACTCACTATTTGCAATCGTGCCACATAAACGACCAAAGATATTCTTCAGTAGCGTTGATTTTTTAAGCTCCGTATCACTCTTCTTCTGTCCTTTATAATAAGAAATATACATATATGTATGTATGTATATATATTGATTCCATTCTGGAACTAGCATTACCTACAATGTGCTCAGAGTCTTTGAATCTAAACGGCGAGCCTTAGCAAAAAACAGTTGCTCCCCTAGTTTATATACATATGATGATAAATATTGTTATGGGTTTTATCTTAAACTTGTACTATGATTCCCTGAGAGATGACGATTCTAAAACACGTTAGATTAGGTTATAGAACGCATATTTGATACATCAGATTCAAAGAAAATATAACGGGGCAACATCTGGCCTATTGTACGTTCATTTAATGGAACACGTTTGCGGTGACATCTTGTATAGCGATCAATGAATGAAATTGTCGTCCAATGTTCAGAAACTCTGTATAATTTCGACGAAAGCCTGACAATGACAGAAATTGCCGCGTAAGTGATAGAATAGGCCTAGGCATTATTGTATTCTTCAAGTAAAATGCCTTAGGTAGGACTTGGGAAATCAGTCCTTTTTGACATGGTAACTAAGCCCATTAGTTCCAACGTATGGAGCACTATTAGCTCCAACGTATGGAGACTATTTTGGTGGAACACACTTGACAAATCCACTATTGAGAAAACTACCTGCGGACCTTATGGTGAAACAAGTACATAGATCTTATGTAAATCTGTAGTTGGGCTAAGTTCAGCCGGTTTATGAAAGCATGGTACCTTTGGTCATGCATCCATTATATTCCCGATAACATTAATTTCCCTGATCTTCTCTCTGATAAATGATTCACAATAGATACTACAAATGTGTTTCTAAATCTAAGAGGGGTGGCTTCTAAATTCCAAATTTGAGAAATGAAGTATGTTTCAAGCTACATAATCAACGCAGCGTTTTCCAGGCTGAGATATCTGACATCAAAAGCGAGGTAATCTTGATGAGGTACTATAGGAAATGCGGAGAATTATACGAACTTTGGTGTGTACACGGCATCTGGATTGGTTCGTAAATGTGTTATATCTCTTGTCGCGTGTCGTGTCCAGCCTTGATGAACGGGACATTGATACTCTAGTGGGAGCCCCGCTCTCGTGCTGTAAAACGTTTATTAAGGACTACACATGTCTGCCCAGACCAGATGGTCAACAACGTCTACGTCAACCATGTTTAGTTGACCACTCTATAATAACCATAGGTTTTTGTCACTGATAGAGAATTTCACGTTTACGATTAAGGGTAGTGGTTAGTGTTCTAGTCTGGTAGACCGGAGGTGGTGGGTTCGATTCCCACCTGAGGCACTGGTTAAGGAGCGCACAACAGGCTCGATAGAGGCCTAGGTGTATTTCTTCGGATTTGATGTATATACATCCTCCTTTCAAACTAACTAACTAACTAACTAACTAACTAACTAACTAACTAACTAACTAACTAACTAACTAACTAACTAACTAACTAACTAACTAACTAACTAACTACTAACTAACTAACTAACTAACTAACTAACTAACTAACTAACTAACTAACTAACTAACTAACTAACTAACTAACTACTAACTAACTAACTAACTAACTAACTAACTAACTAACTAACTAACTAACTAACTAACTAACTAACTAACTAACTAACTAACTAACTAACTAACTAACTAACTAACTAACTAACTAACTAACTAACTAACTAACTAACTAACTAACTAACTAACTAACTAACTAACTAACTAACTAACTAACTAACTAACTAACTAACTAACTAACTAACTAACTAACTAACTAACTAACTACTAACTAACTAACTAACTAACTAACTAACTAACTAACTAACTAACTAACTAACTAACTAACTAACTAACTAACTAACTAACTAACTAACTAACTAACTAACTAACTAACTAACTAACTAACTAACTAACTAACTAACTAACTAACTAACTAACTAACTAACTAACTAACTAACTAACTAACTAACTAACTAACTAACTAACTAACTAACTAACTAACTAACTACTAACTAACTAACTAACTAACTAACTAACTAACTACTAACTAACTAACTAACTAACTAACTAACTAACTAACTAACTAACTAACTAACTAACTAACTAACTAACTAACTAACTAACTAACTAACTAACTAACTAACTAACTAACTAACTAACTAACTAACTAACTAACTAACTAACTAACTAACTAACTAACTAACTAACTAACTAACTAACTAACTAACTAACTAACTAACTAACTAACTAACTAACTAACTAACTAACTAACTAACTAACTAACTAACTAACTAACTAACTAACTAACTAACTAACTAACTAACTAACTAACTAACTAACTAACTAACTAACTAACTAACTAACTAACTAACTAACTAACTAACTAACTAACTAACTAACTAACTAACTAACTAACTAACTAACTAACTAACTAACTAACTAACTAACTAACTAACTAACTAACTAACTAACTAACTAACTAACTAACTAACTAACTAACTAACTAACTAACTAACTAACTAACTAACTAACTAACTAACTAACTAACTAACTAACTAACTAACTAACTAACTAACTAACTAACTAACTAACTAACTAACTAACTAACTAACTAACTAACTAACTAACTAACTAACTACTAACTAACTAACTAACTAACTAACTAACTAACTAACTAACTAACTACTAACTAACTAACTAACTAACTAACTAACTAACTAACTAACTAACTAACTAACTAACTAACTAACTAACTAACTAACTAACTAACTAACTAACTAACTAACTAACTAACTAACTACTAACTAACTAACTAACTAACTAACTAACTAACTAACTAACTAACTAACTACTAACTAACTAACTAACTACTAACTAACTAACTAACTAACTAACTAACTAACTAACTAACTAACTAACTAACTAACTAACTAACTAACTAACTAACTAACTAACTAACTAACTAACTAACTAACTAACTAACTAACTAACTAACTAACTAACTAACTAACTAACTAACTAACTAACTAACTAACTAACTAACTACTAACTAACTAACTAACTAACTAACTAACTAACTAACTAACTAACTAACTAACTACTAACTAACTAACTAACTAACTAACTAACTAACTAACTAACTAACTAACTAACTAACTA